GTGCCTGAATCTAACCAAACAGGAATTGTGAATTTAAAGATACATTATAAAATAACATAAATTTTGAAATGCCACAGCCTCAGAACAGTGTGCATCCAATATCAAATCTATGATCACATTTTAAAATACTTAAAATTATTCTAAAAGCTGCAACTAAAGCAAAGGCGACCTCTGAGAAAGTACCCAATGCAGTAAAATGAGAGTTAATAAGTGTTGTAGCGTGAGGTGATAAAATTGTGTTGTTATATTTCTTCATTGTCAGCACAAATCCTTGTTTATTAAAAATTTAGCTAGAAGGAAACTTTAATTAATTACAGGTTCAGTAAATCCTGACTAGGATTCTGCTGTGGTGTGTTTTACAGTGAATGGCCTTCATGTGCCTGTGTTTCACTTCTGTTCTCTCTGCTACCTGACAACGTGATTTATGACTGTTGTTTTCTACTAGTCCACTGTTTGCCCTCTAGGAGGGATTGGTCTCTTGAGCCTCCATAATAACAGCAGCACTTTCACAAAACATCTTTTAATGACAACACTGTAGCATTCTGTAAGTCAGGCTAATTGCAGACATACCCTATTAATTGCAAAAACTAGGAGAGGTTACGTATTTTACAAGCTTTTAATTTGAAATCGCCCGAGATTATTTGTTCTAAGTGTTTGGATAGAGATGTCTACAATATTCTATGATAGGCCATTGCCGAGACTCTAGGACATGGTTGCAGACTATGGGCAATGTACCAGGTAGAATTAAGCTTTGGACGTCCACATGAGCCTAGAAATCCTATTCTGTCTATAATACAAATTGTTCTAAAAATTACATATTCTCTTGACAATCATGATGTCAACATTAAATAATGTGTCATGGTTTTATCAGGAGATAGTAATCAGAAAGTAGAAATTCTTGAACAGTTAAACCCAGAATGGCTTTTTGAATCTTGCGGTATGTCTGAGTAAGAAATTTTACAATAACAACTCATCAACTTTTAACACTGTCTGAGCCTTTGAGATGGATTTTTCTCTTTTGTTTTTGTCAGTTTTCTAGTAATAAGGGTTTTGTCTTTCCTTTAGCAAATTCTGTGGTGGTTCTGCTTATTTTGTCTTTTACTTTGGGTATATTTGTTTCATCCAGAATTGTCTCCCAGCCCATCATCTTCAGTTTGAGTCTTCTAGATTTATATGTGGAGCATAAATGCAAGAAAAATGAGTCTTGAATACTGTGAATTCTGTGGAAGGTGATATAGACTCTCCCCGCCCTACATAATTTACAGCTGTAAAGGCTAGTAAAAACTTAGGGAAGGGATATAACTTAGAAGAGAAGCATGAAATTTGAAAATTAATAACATTTATTAATCCTGTTAATGAGAAAGGTTGGACAGAATTTAGGATTAACCAAATAGATTTTTGTGATTTTTTTTTGTTGTTCTTTTCACTTGTTTAATTTTCCTCTAATGTTCTAGATTCATGCAGTACACAAAGCTGGGTTTGTGAGGTGGATATAGGAGAACCTGAAGAAGCCAGTTACTTTAATCAAATTTAATGTTTGTGTTTCAGACATTGCCGTAAAAAAAAACAAAACAAAACAAACCACTGTTTCTTTCTGACCAGGCTTCAGATCAAATTCTGATCTGTTATACCACAGTATTCAAGTGCTTCATTCTTTTACAGATGAGCTAAGAATCATATTATCAAAGTCTTGCCTGTGCTTATTTTCTTTGAAAAGTAAATTATATATCTGCTTTTTCAAAACTTTTTGTACATTTGTTGGACAGCAAACCTGCAGTTCAGTAGGTCTGAGTTTTCTGTCTCGCTTTTACTGACAATGTGTACCTTTCGCTTTTAGGTGAAACTAATTCATGAAATTGCTTCATGCCATGGAATTTTAATTACATCTTATTCATACATTCGACTGATGCAGGATAACATCCACAGATATGACTGGCATTATGTGATTCTGGATGAGGGTCACAAAATCCGAAATCCAAATGCTGCAGTCACACTCGCATGCAAGCAGGTACTTCATTAAAAACAAATGAAAAATTTTAACCGCTAGGTGGGAGGTTCCAAAATCTAATAGCCTATATTACTTTATGATAAAAATACACATTCGACCATTAATAAAGAATAAAAGCATAAGTCACAGTGGCCTATACTGGACTAGTTAATTTACTTCACGTTTTTAATGAGTTTACATCAGTGAATTTAAAGAGTGGCAGAGAGAAAAATCAGAAATGTTAAATTGTGTAGCAGTTTGCCATTAGATTGCTGGTGTTTGTTTTCTGCTAACGATTTATGGACAATATATGCAGAACGCTGTTTATTTCAGGAATATGAGGCCACATGTTTTAAAATGAGAACTCATTGATGGTGAAGTTGAATATCCTCTGAGTCAGGAGGCAGGTTACACCATGAACCGTGAGAATAACTTCCTTTGGTTTTGTGTTTTTTATTAACAGTTCCGCACACCTCATCGAATCATCTTGTCTGGCTCCCCTATCCAAAATAACCTGAAGGAGCTCTGGTCCCTCTTTGACTTTATATTCCCAGGGAAACTGGGAACACTACCTGTGTTCATGGAACAATTTTCTGTACCAATAACCATGGGAGGATATTCCAATGCCTCTCCTGTGCAGGTAAATGCATCAAAAATGCCACTTTGTTTGAAGGAATTGTTACATTGTTTCAAAACTGACTTCTAAGGGTACTTTATGCTGTATGTTCCAGACACTAACACTGAAGAGTTGCATGTATGTTATACTGCTGTGTGTATGAAAAGAACTATTCAACTAAATGAGACCATTTCATCTATACAGGAGTATAGTTTATACACAAGTTTTTCTTGTCAAAAGCCCAGAAGTTTAAATCATTAGAAGTATTCTTTGATTTAAAGATAAACATGTTGGAGTGGGAGGTGACCTCATATTTTCATGGATTTAAATAGAGCTTTCCTGTTTGATGCTTTGGCAAATTATACAATAGAGGAATCCTTAAATCCTAACTGAAAACTACTTTAATTTTGAAAAGCCAAAATAGGTATTGGAAGTCTGAAAACAGATAAACTATTTAATTTTTAAAACAAAATTATTTGGAATATTATTTTGAATAAGTATGTCTATTAATATTTGTAGTTGTGTTTCTGGATATTTATGACTTCTATCATTTTTCAAATTATCTGATAGATAAATTGTCTGCATAGTAATATGCAGACTCAGTTTCATATAAATGCTAATAAACTTGTTTCCTTTTAAGTATTGTTTGTAATGTTTTGCACAAATACATTTCTAAAGTTTTATTTTCTTTTTGAGTTCAAGTGCTTCCCTTGTCTAAAGCTTACCTCTTCTAAAGCTTAGTAATTTACTAAATTGGACAGCCAATTTTTTTTACATATCAATAATTTATTATATTCTTTGTTTTGCTCTAAGAGAAATGAAGGTATTTTTAGCCTTTGTGTACAGTTAATACCCATCTCACACATCCATTACCCATTATAGAACCATATGCTCCATTTAAGGCCAGAGTGACCTTTAGTTTCTGTGATCATGGGGATTTTCTTGTACCGATTTTTTTTTCAAATAGTCTCAAGTGGGCACTAATCTTCACTTATTGTCTAGTAACCACCATTGCTGCAGGCTTCTTTTTTGATCTTCAGGATATGTATTAGCAGTGGTTCTGTGCAAGTTTATACTTACTACATAGATTGTTTTCTAAAAAAAACCTCTCGTTTCTGTTCTCTCTTAAATTCCACTAAATTAGGAAAGATAAATTAATGGTATCTGAGAAGACTTATTCAATGTTGCTGTTGCTGCCATTAATTTTATTGCAATTCATGTTTTGTTGAATAAGTAACTATAGTTCCGGAAGCAAGAATCATAAACCATCTAATTTTACGAGGATTTTCGTATTACTAATTGCAGATATTTGCTTGTTGCTAAAACTAAGACCAAGGACCAAAGTAGAATTTTTGCTTTTTCTTCCTTTTTTTAGGCACAAACTGCATACAAATGCGCCTGTGTGTTACGGGACACCATAAACCCTTACTTGCTGCGAAGAATGAAGGCTGATGTAAAAATGAGCCTTTCACTTCCAGATAAAAATGAACAGGTTTGCTTATCTTCACTATTAGATATGAGCCCTCTTCCTCCCCAAAATCCAGTCTTTCATGGACATTTGGAAGTAATAGCTTCTTATAGCCGATGAAATAACATTTTAACAAAAGATAAGAGATGGAGCTCTCAAGTTGCTTATTTTTTGTAGTCTTGCAGGGTGTATACAAGTACACTCTCATCTGACAAACAAAGGATATATGAATTGCAGTCAGATCGGTTTACTACGGTCCTCAGAGGTCACGGGTGCATACAAACAAGTTGTCTTTGGGGTGTTTCCTATAGTGCATCTCTTGGACACTTCAGCATTCTTTCCTGCTGTATAAAGGTTAATTTGGGCAACAAATAGTAGAGAAATATTTGGCGGCAGTTGTTAATATTGCAAGCTGTCTGAGCTTGTGCATTCTAATATATTTCCAAAATACTAGCCTTTTGATCTAGAACTTGTTTGCTGTACAAAGAAGTGGGGTATTTTTTAGGAAACACTTTGATTTAACATAGAGGAGGTTGAAAGGTTTATTCAAACAACTGAGATTCCTACAAATACTCACTTGTAGTAATTACCAGATTCTTCTGCCACTCAGGTTTCAGTGCTTCAGTCTTTCTTTTCCTCTCCTCACTCTTTACCTTCCTGTCTCCCCCCTCTAAAAGAGAGCTAGATGTGCTAGTCTTTGTAAGACGGTGCTGAAAGGTGCATATAAATGAGTAGGCCATACTCAATGTTTGCTATGTAGTCTAGTGATCTCTTTGTAGTCAATTTTTGAATTTCTATATACTTTAAAGAGTCTGGACTATTTAGTTTAAAGAATGCAATCATAAACAGATGAAACAAATTTGATTTTTATTCTTATCAATCACAGGGCACTACATAAGTCTGACTTACGGCATAATGTTGGGTGACTTGCAGGATGCAAGGAAGTGTTTTTGTTCCATTTTAGCCCATCAGATCATCTCAAAAATCACTCTACGCTCCCACTCAAATGCTAATGACAGAACAGATTATGTGTGCTAACACAGTTTTCCCATGAGGTACTAAGAATTTGCAAGTTGTAAGGGACGTAACAGACACACAATGGAAAGCATTTCCTATAAACATAGCTTTGAAAGAAAGCTAGCATTGCACAGTTACCTCATTAAAACTGGAAAATGGCAGCACTTTGAAGACTAAAGCAATTTGAGGAGAAAAAAATAACAATTGGGAAAGGGCACAGAAAAACTAATTAAATTCATCTTAATTCTTATATTAATTCTCTAAAAATTCTAAGTTTTATTTCTAATTATTTCTAAAGTATCTTTTAACTTTTAATTTAAGTCTGACAATCTGTGAAGCTTCATTGTACCACATCGTAAAGCTTCAAAATTTACTCTATTTGGAGTTTACAGGTTGGGCTTGAGTGCTTCATTTGTTTATTTTGGTAGGTCCTCTTTTGCCGTTTGACAGATGAGCAGAATCGAGTCTATCGAAATTTCATCAACTCTAAAGAAGTTTACGACATTCTCAATGGAGACATGCAGGTTGGCATTAATTAAGGTTAATGGCAGGGGGGGGTTGGATTTGATGGATAAAGTAGTGGACTGACCTTTGCATTCTTCTAGCTGGATTCTGAGCAGAAAGGGAAGCAAACACACTGGTTTCAGTTCTGCTTTTGTAGATGTCTGCATTTTTTTTTCTCAGAAATGTTCCGTGGAATATGTAGAGTTAGTGATCCCTATGTAGTGGCATGACCAGATAAAAGTAGGAATGGAATGGCCTTGGCAATGTGTTTGTGGCCCTGGAAACAAATTATAGCTTGTTGGATGACCTGCTGTAGGTAACTGTATGCATGCTTTTAACCAATTGCAAAAGTGAAGCAAAAGAAAAGAGTAATTTGTCCTGAGAGTACAATTCAGCTATGATAACTTCATGATGGAGCAGCTGATAATTTCACAGAGTCTTAGCAGAACAAACAGCAAGCATCCTTGTTACTACTAGTCACTTCAACATCTTTGCCTCCGTCCTCACAACATGAGTGTTGAAATTGCTACGGACAGAATGACAGCAGTAGTTGAAATACAATTTCAATTGCCTACTGTTGCCTGTGTAAAAAAGTCTGCTATTCCGTGTGGCTCCTACATGGCACACATCTGGTCCATTTGACTTTTTATTTTTCTAGATCTCACAAAGGTATAGTGGGCAAGTTTTTTCAAGTGTCTAGTAATTTTAGTTATCCTAATGAAAGTTATTTTAAGAAACTTAATCTTCAAGAGATGGCACAAGACTATCTGCAGAAATTTCTCTAAGATGTTATAGAATGGGCTTTCGTATTTGCTAGAGTCCTGAAAAATTTGAACAGTAAATGTCAATCCTTTAATTAGATGTTTTGTGATGACAGCGGTGATTCTCATCTGGGAAAAAAAAAAATGCATTGTACAAATAAACCGAAAATTATGAGCAGGCTTATTCAACTCATAGTGATGGCAGACTGAGGGATCTTCTGTTTCGAGCTAGTCCATTTTTATGAGTGCCTATTGTATCAGAAGATTAAATAACACTTTTAATATTATTGAATGAATAACTGAACAGTCATTCTAACATGGCATCAGAAGTGGTAATTTTCAGCTTCAGGTGTTTGTTCAAATACGTTTACTCATCTGTTCCTTGTTACCGTGCATTCTGGTTGGGTATACTTGCTATTCTCAAGGTCTGTCTTAAGTTACCTACTAACATGGTAGGGGTTGGAAGGAGGAACACAATAATTTCAAGTAACAAACTTGGTGACATTTTTCTTTTTTTTTTTTTTTTTTTTTTTTTTTTGAGGCAGGAAAAATTTGACTGTGAGTTACAGCTAGTGACTGCTTTTGCTAATGTGGAAATTGTTGCAGAATTATCTTAACATTGTTACCAGAGAAGGCTCACAAGAACACAAAATTTCAGTGAACTTCTCTTGTACTGTTTTTTCTTGAAACTTTATGTGAAACACGTGTTGGTGTCCATTGGCCTCTCTAAAGAGCAAATCACTATTAAAAACAAACTTTTTGATGGTAACTGGGTTAATCCGTTGATGTTTATTTTTCTCAACCACAACCCATATAGATACAAGTATTTGTCAAGAAAATAAAAATCTTTTTTCTCCTGTTTTCTTTAGATTTTCTCAGGACTAGTAGCTTTGAGAAAGATTTGCAACCACCCTGACCTCTTCTCTGGTGGTCCTGGGATTTTGAAGGGTGTACCAGATGCTGAAGTGGAGGAAGCAGATCAGTTTGGATACTGGAAACGTTCTGGAAAAATGATAGTGGTAGAATCCTTGCTGAAAATATGGCACAAGCAAGGCCACAGAGTGTTGCTTTTTACTCAGTCGAGACAGGTGAGATGAGCTAAATTGGTTTCAGTTTTAGTTGTTACTAAAACTAAAGTGTGTGTGTGTGTCCCAAGACTTGTAATCAGAACCACCTTTTGTGGTGGTTCAGGAAATTAACATCTTGCTGAAAAAAAGTACCAAAATTACTAATGTCTTTGGAGTACTTGGAGACTAGTTGTCAAACTCAGTAAGCTTTGCTGGAATGACAGTATTGTGGCAAGTATTGCCCAAATTGACTATACTGGGTCAAAGCTTGTATCAGTTGTACCCATACAGTACCAGGCTGAAGCAGAGGTGATGTATTTATTGCCCCTACTGTGTAGTTTCAGGATAGAATTGGTAATCACTTTGCCTTCTCTGTTTAGTGCATGTGCACATCTAATGCTCAGAATTGTGTGCTTTGGGCCAGCAGCACAGACAGTGACCTTCATTTATTTTCCTTATATATTCACGATCTTGTGTTGCTTCTGTGGATGTGCTGGAATGCTGCACCATTTACCTGGTTAATTGTCTTAAGACCATGGCTCCAGACTTCCCACACCAATCACAAACATTCTACTCCTGCATTCAGCAGTGGAATAATTACCTTCCCTCCCCTCCAATCACAAAGTTAATTAATTATCTGCTCAATTAAGATTCACAAGTTTTTGGTCATCATCTTGTTTGTTTGATTGGCACAACAGTTAGTACCAGAAATTCTTATGATTTGATCAGACAGTTGCTTAGTCTTCACATCTGGATCTTATTAAATTTTCTCATCACAACAGATGCTGCAGATCTTTGAAGTCTTTGTGAGAGACAGAAACTATTCCTACCTCAGGATGGATGGTAACACAACAATAGCTTCCAGACAGCCCCTTATAACAAGATTTAATGAGGTGAGATGTTGCATCCCACGCACTAATGCCTATTAGTATGGTTGAGTTCTTACATTCCTTTTTGGTCTGTTTTTAAATATACTACTTTAAGTTTGAGATGCCAAACTGGGGACTTCAGTCAAATGAAACCACTTTCTTTGTGAGAGCAGGCAAAGTATATTTTTTTTTTCACGCTTAAGTTGGGTTTTCTGCTAAGAAAAAATAGAACAGTTGAAAAAGAAGGAAAAGAAGTGTTATTGGACAACAGTAAATTATATTTAGTTCAAACTATTTTTATTTGTCAGAAGAGATATTAGGCAAACAAGGAAAGTTATTCCTCCTCTTGGTTCCCTTTCCATCTTTGCAAATAATGCTGATAATGTTTTTTTGTTTCCTGGATTCTTCTGTTATCTTGTACTTTGGTAATTCTTGCTTCAATAAATTCTCTTATGTTGTAGGACAAATCCATATTTATTTTTCTTCTAACAACTCGTGTTGGTGGCATTGGAGTTAACTTGACTGGTGCTGACCGAGTTATTATTTATGATCCTGACTGGAATCCCAGTACGGACACACAGGTGAGTTTGGTTCATTACATTCCATTTACCAGCTAAGTTGAAATAAAACTGAAGATGGAGTGGATGGAATTTTATCTCCTCAAATTGTGTTAAAGCACAATGTTGCTCTTCCCTAAGTTCCTGTTCCCAGCAGTGATTTTTTAGGAGGCAGCTCCACACTAGGATTACTCTTGTGGCAAAGCCAACTTAAGTGGTTCCCACCACATCCACTTTATGCTGTTATACATTACCACTCTTCAATAATGTTGGTTCATACAGTTTGTGTAGAGTGTAGCCAAACAAACAGTTGAAACGGCCTAGGTTTTTCAACAAACAAACAAACAAACAAAATGTTTCTGAAGGGTGAGTGCAGCTGTGCAAGCAGGCATAACTGTTCATGGTGGCAATGCAGGGTTAGAAAAGGAGAACAAGTGTTACTTAAATTGGTTTTGCAAATAAATGTTACATAGGAGAAGCTGCTGTTAAGCCAATACCTTAAAGAAGTTGGTCTTTATCTGAAGGTGTGATGAGACTACAGGTTATCAGATCCCTTAGCTGTATATGGGGCTTATGTGTTTGAGAGGAAAAAATATTTCTGATGGAAATCCTACATAGCTCTGAGATCTGCAAGGGTGCAGTCTGATCTAGAGTGGTCTGTTTTAGTGGTTGGTTCAAGATGTTTGTAGGAAAGCTTTCAGTTAAAAAAAAAGGAGAAAAGTTCAAAGGATGCGTACATTAAAGATCTATTGTGAAATAGATTTCTTTTGGAACAAGTTGATGTAAGGTACCTATCGCAGATACCAGCTCTACTTTTAACATGCCAACTTATTCTCTAAGATTTTGCATAGATTTCTGGGTATACAATTGGGGTCTTATGTTTTTACATATGTGAACTTTCTAAATTGTTTTCCTCTATTTCCGAGTTAGTTGTACTAATGCTGTAGAAATACCACTGTTTGTTAAATGTCCAAACTAGGTTTGAAATGGTGTATAAGAGGTTAATGTCTGGTAACCAAACCTTTTATGTTCCAGGCTCGTGAACGTGCTTGGAGAATAGGCCAAAAGAAACATGTGACTGTGTATAGGCTTCTCACTGCAGGTACTATTGAAGAGAAGATATACCACAGGTCAGTCAGAATGATTCCTTAGGATACAGCTGTATGCTTAAGAAAATGTTTGCAGCAAATCTAAGGTGGTGGTAACAGTGACATAACAGTGCATGTGCACACATAGCTTGGTCATGATGGGCACATCATGGAAAACTTTTTAAAATTTCTGGTGAGAAATTCTTCTAATATTAGACTCTTAGCTGCAGGGCTGTGCTGCTGCCTCTCTAGCTCCACAACCCACATACTAAATATACCTCATCAGTCTGTTCCAGCAGCTGTGTCCAGCACATCCAGAATGCACTGTAAATGAGAGTGAGGCACAGACAGGAAAAAATGAGCCCCTTACTCAGAACATGAGACTCAACAAATCTGAAATACAAATTGAAATCAACAAGACCTTTATATTGTCCTTAGGATACATGAAGATGTATGTGGTACATACATCCATCTACTACTCTGCAAACCCGATTTGATTTTATTGTCAAGTCATTCCAAAGTGAGAGAATTAAATCCCAAGAACCACCAGTCATATTCATGTTATTTATTCCAAAATGCAGCTAAAGCCTTAAAGTGCTTGTATTTTGAAATCAATGAAATCTTTTTGCTTTGCTTTCTCATTCAGCTTTCTCAATGGTTAGCTTCACTCATAGGAATTCCAAATGAACGTACATGGGAATCCTCCTGTCTAGGCATTACTCTTTAGAACTGGAGTATCCTCTTTGAAAATGCAGATAAATTAAAAGCTCTAAATAATGAAATACCCACACTTATTGAGTACCTTTTTTAATCTGTTTTACCACATGGTCACAAAGCATCCGTTGTTGGTTGGCTTGCGTCCCTCTTGAATATTTCTGTTTGAACAACACTGACCTCATCAAGGAAGTGGGCTCTAAGGGTCAGGACAGCCATCAGAAATTCATTTATTTCCAGAACAGTAGAATGGTCTTTGAACTTTAAGCAAGTTGTCTTTTCTCTTTGCCTGTTTTCTTCCCTGCAAGTATGTGATTATTCTTGTAGGAAGCTATGAAGCTCAGTTAATTCTTAAAAACTTTAAAGCCTTCTGAAGGGTGCGCTACAATAGCTGGCACCTGCATTTAAACTTTGATTTTGCCTATTGGATTTAAAAATATTTTTGCTGCTTAATGTCAGCAGAGCCAAACCCATGATAAAAACACTTCTTGAGAACTGATTTCCAGCTTTATTTAGGCATGTATTTTTTGTACAAGAGAATAGTGCCTAGAACTTGACATCAAAAGCTATGTAGTACAAACATGGCATAGAAGTAGATTTACCAATGCTAGAAGACTTTTTGCAGCTTAGTCTCCCTGGGATTTGTTCCTTTCAGTCCTCTGCAGATGGGCTCTTTTTTCCCTTCCTCGCAACCACAAGTCTGATTTCCCTTTTCAGTGGTTTTCATCCAGTCATCATCATCAGACTGAGCTACTTTCCTTTTGATTCCTCCAACTGATTGAACTGTTAAAATGTTGTTATTTTAACAACCTCTTGCTTTTCTTTCAGGACCTGTCTGATAGTTTTATTACAATACATGCAAGCTTTTCAACTTTAATGGACAAAAAAAAATTCTAGCTGTGAAGTTATTTATTGCTTAGTTAAGGGATGCCTCCTAGGACATTTCAGGATGGCGGTTACCTGTTGTGTTATGGGGTTGCTGCAAAACAATAAATCCCTGTGTTTAACAATTTAGTTGGTTGTTTGAAAGTTACTAACTCAAGATTATCTTTTGGAAACTAACATCATCTTCCCACTGCTTAATTGTTCTGCAGGGTAACATTTGTGCTTATACAGTTTTCTGTATTCAGTACTTAAACATAGCCAGGCATTGTTTCATGCACAAAGTACTTTTTTTTCTTTTTTAGACAAATCTTCAAACAGTTTTTAACAAATAGAGTGCTGAAAGACCCTAAGCAGAGGCGCTTTTTCAAATCCAATGACCTTTATGAACTTTTTACTCTGAGCAGTCCAGATGTGTCTCAGGGGACAGAAACAAGTGCAATTTTTGCAGGTACCTTTTTTTTTTCTATTTCTTTAAAAGAAAAAAAAATATTTTGAGTTTTTGATAAATGGATACTAATTTCACTCATCTCTCAGGTACTGATTCAAATGTTCAAGTCCCAAAACACCAACTGAAACGGAAACTTGAAAAGACATCTGATAATGATGCTTCTAAAGGTGATTTCCATCTTACAGAAGGCAGATCAGCAAAGTACAGGAAGTCATCCAATTCCTACTCAAACACCCACATGACAAATTCTTCTTCTAAAGCAATAGAGACAAGTGAGGAAACCAAAGGAAATTTGGAAGCCTTTGACCAAAATAGCTGTGCAAAAGATAATGCACAAGCTGCTACTAATATAAATTCATTGAATAAAAGCAAGGAGGAAAGCTTGGAAAGAGCTGACAAATCTATGTCCCAGTCATTGCCAGGTGATGCAGCATCTTCAGAGAATGCCAAATATCTGGATGCTGTGGTGGCTGATGAAGTACATGGAGAAGCTAATGCAAATGTCAAGGGAGATTTTAGCCTTATGTGTGGTGCAGCTGGCTCTTGGGAAAAACAGGTTGCTAAAACTGAAGATGGGCAAGTAGATAATAATCATCATAAATGCACCTCAAAAACAAAGCACAGGGTCGATATGTTGTTGCATGAGCGCCACAAAGGTAAGTCTAAGAAGAAACATCACAAAGATGCCAAATTTGAAGGAGAGCGCATTCCTCATCTAGTGAAACAAAAGCGATACAAAAAGGAGAACAGTGAAGAGAAGGAGGAAGACTCAAAGAAAAGTGATGACTACATTTTGGAGAAACTTCTCAAAAAATCAGGTAACCTTTGTTATTTGGCTGCTCAACAGTGTCAGACTGTTTAAATAGAGGTATATGAAACTTATGCAAGTGAGGGAAGGAGCAGTTCTGTTACTCTGATGGTTAGAGCTACAATACAAAATGTGTTTTTATCTGTTCCGTTAGCATAGTGAAAGATTAAAATGTTCATCGTTGAAGTGCTTTGGTTATGAATGTGCTAATTACCTTGGCACTAACATTTCAGAGAGATCTGCAGCCTTCCAGAAACACTTCCAGATATAGAAGTAATGCAGTGTTTCTTCTGGAAATAAGGATGTAACCAACCTTCATTTACACAAGGGTTTCACTTCCGTCTGTCCTGTCCATAACAATAGAAATTTTCGATTTGCCCACATGATTTCCAAGTCTATTGTGAATAATGACCTTATCAGCACGCCAGAACTGGTTTGCTGTCAAATTGATTGCTTAACTGATAGAAGGGGGTTCTCGTATTAGAAATGACTATACTGAAGTGCTGACTATAATCAACCTGAAAAAGGAAAAATGTGATTGTGGCATTCACTTAAATGACAGATAACCATGTAAATTAACAGATGTCCTCCTTCACCTTTCTTGTATCTTCTGGTTTTCAGGGGTACACAGTGTTATGAAGCATGATGCTATTGTGGAAGCTTCCAGTGCAGATCACGTATTGGTGGAAGCAGAAGCAAACAGAGTGGCCCAGGATGCCTTAAGAGCCTTAAAAGTCTCTCGACAACGATGTTTAGGAGCTGCTTCTGGTGTGCCAACCTGGACAGGTGTGAGTGGTCTTTCAGGTGCACCGTCAGGAATAAGGTAAATTCAGTTCTTACACTGCTTTTCCAAAAATAGAAGAGTTCCTTAGGATGCTATGGATTTATGTTTTTTTGCACTTGGTATTTGCGGTAACATGTATCAAAGTGGAATTTCATGTTTTATATTTAATAAAGACATGAAGGCAGAAAGCATTATTGTTGCACTGTAGAGGAGAGAGTTTGGCAGAGGGCTCTTGAGAACCCTAAAACGTAAACCCAGTCAGTGTCTTTGACAAAACTATCATAATCATTTTGAGAAGGATGTTTTATAATTATTTTCTGGGTTTTTAGGTGTCAGTTTGGTCAAAAAAGAAACCCCATGCTGCGTTCTTCACATTCCATTTGTCCATCACCTGCAAAGAAGTGCAAGGTAAGAGACACACGGTAACATTTCTCTTTCAATGGCTGATGTACGTGAAATGTTCTGATTTATGCAACAAATCTGATTTTTACTGTAGATGTGTGTCTCACTCATTTGTTGTATGATTATGTAGAATTCTAGGATTTTTAGTCACTGATGCATTTGATTTTTTCATGTTTTGGTGTAGCATCTTGATGAAGTCTAGTGAGATACAGTAGTCACAAATTGCAGCATGGTCTGGTTATCTGTCTCAAGACCAGCAATGCTTTTAAAAAGTTCGCTTCCTAAGGTCTAAAGTTGAGACCAGAACATATTACCTCATTATTACGTATTTCAGATGACTAGCTTCTGAGTGTTCATGTTTGTTGTTCGAGTCTAAACAGCCGGCAGATTTTATTTAACACGTTTTGTGGATCTCAAAATCCAACTTTCTCCGTAGTCCATATGTTTATTTGCAGGATGCAGATGCAATAAAGAAGTATAGTTCCAATGGGCAGTTTGATGGAAAATCTGGAGAATCATCGTCTAGTGCACTAGAATCTTCATCTTTATTAGCTAAGATGAGGGCAAGAAACCACCTTTTTTTCCCACAACAGACAGAGAATGAGGGAGATGAGAATCATCCGCAAGCACGCACCCCAGCCCCGGTTTCAACAGAATACGATGAACTGCTCGTGGACGTGCGTAACTTCATAGCGTTCCAGGCCCGCGTGAACGGCGAGGCTAGCACTCAGGAAATACTACACAAATTTGAGTCCAGACTGCCTGCAGCACAGTCCTGCGTCTTTAGAGAACTTCTCCGCAATCTCTGCACCTTCCATAGAAACTTGAACGGTGAAGGCGTCTGGAGACTAAAGCCAGAATTCCACTGACCTTTGTCAAATGAAGGCACCTGTCTGTGCGCTCAGCCATTACTCTTCTTTCAAAGACTTACTGTTTATCTATTAAAATGAGGAATTATTTTTTATTCATGTTTCAGTAATTGACTTGAGCAGTCAGTTTTGCAGTGCTTGTTGCAGGCTCATAGCTAACTTAATTTCTGATTTACACTATTTCTATGAAATTGCCATCTACCTCATAGATGAAACAATACAATGTATCAGCAGCATTTCTTTAAAATAAATCTTAATATAAGTGGGATGAAGAATACATACTGGCTTTTTATTGCAATAAGAAAACTATGGATGTTGCCATAGATTGTAAGACTTTTATTTGATTTCTGTGAAATTCCAAGAACTGTTTCCTCAATTTTCTGTATGTTACTTGAATGGTCACAGGGCACACAGTGTACCATTTAAAAAAAAAAAAAAAAAAAAGTAATTATGATAATGGTCAGCCTGAGAGATTCATTTGTACCGACAAGTGTGTCAAAATAATTGTATGACACTTTCATCAGTAGTGAGAATTTTTGTTTTGATGTTGGTACTTGCATCTAGCATGTGCAGTGTAACTTGAATCACTAATTAACTTGGGAAATAATTCTGCTGCCATAGAGTTTTAATCACAAAAAAATTGAAAGCCTGGCAGTATATTGAAATGACTGACAGTTGATAATTATGGAAAATTTATTATATTACAGAAAACCCCTTTACAGCATAATCATCAATTCGGTTACAGTACCACTGGCAATTGCTTGATACAATATTTCTTACAACTGAGGTGATGGTAACGGTTATGTTTGTTACAGGTTGTGCACTGATAATTGAAATCCCATGAAATGTCCATGGGTCTCACTGTAATTGATGTCAAAAACTTTCCAGTTCCCTGTTAGCACTTAAAATTTTATACCTTGACAAAGACTGAGGTGTTAGTTGGTCAGAAGGGGAATGGTTTCAATGTATTTTACTGAACGTAATCACTTTTGGCCAGAGACATAATTGGAGCATATGCGGAAGTTACAGGTCATACCTATTCTCTAGATAGGTAAAATCTCAGTTTTCCTGACAGTCATACAAGTTCTGATACCGATTTTTTTTCCAAGGAAGAAAGGATTGGATTATTTGTAGCAAACCTGAGTTACTACATTGGGTCAGTCTTCAAGGTACTCATCCACTACTGTTGGGGTTTAGACCCAGCTGGCAATAAACACCACGCAGCTGCTTGCTCACTCCTTCCCTCATGGTGGGACAGGGAGGAGAATTGAGAGAACAAAAGGTAAAATCTCGTGGGCTCAGGTAAGAACAGGGAGGAATCACCACTTAATGGTAACGTGCAAAAAACAGACTTGACTTAGGGAAAAACAAAACAATTTAATTTGTTACCAATCAAAACAAAAAAAAAAAGCCAGAGTAGGATAATGAGAAAAAAACCTCACATGTTAAAAAGACACCTTCCCCCCACCCTTCCCTTCTTCCCGGGCTCAAAGACTTTGCTCCCAAAGTCTCTCCCTCCTCCCCACCAGCAACACGGGGGGCAGGGAATGAGGGTTGCGGTCAGTCCATCACGTGTTGTCTCTGCCCCTCTTTCCTCCTCAGGGGGAGGACTCCTCACACTCTTCCCCTGCTCCAGTGTGAGGTCCCTCCCATGGAAGACAGTCCTCCATGAACTTCTCCAATGTAAGTCCTTCCCACAGGTTGCAGTCCTTCACTAGCTGCTCCAGTGCGAGTACCTCCCACGGGGTTACCGACTCCTTCGGGTGTAGCAACCTGCTCTGGCGTGGGGTCCCCCATGGGCTGCAGGTGGATCTTTGCTCCGCTGCTGACCCCCATGGGCTGCAGGGGCACAGCCTGCCTCATCAGGGTCTGCACTACAGGCCACAGGGGAATCTCTGCTCCAGCACACCTCCTCCCACTCTTTCACTGACCTTCACATCTACGTAGTTGTCTCTCTCACATCACACTCCTCTCCCCTGCGTGTTCTTTTGCTAGCTTCTGAAACGCTCCTGGCTCTTGGGCTGGGGCTGCGCCTGGGCCCTGCCAGGGCCACACTGCCCGCTCCATGCACTGTGTCCCTCTTGAATGTGTTATTCACAGAGGTGCCAACTGTCTCGTGCTTGGCCAGAGGTGTTTCTGACTTGGAGCCGAGGAAGCTTCTAGCAGCTTCTCACAGGAGCCATCTCGGTAACTCCTCCCCCGCTACAGAAACCCAAAACAGCTATGTAAGGAAATCTTAAGGGGGGGAAAATGGATAGATTTTAAGAAAACCACATTCTTGCAGCAATATTAAATTACTGTATGTCTTAAACTAGAACAGTTAAACATGCCTAATGTACTTCCTCTCCCTAAGCTATTGAGAAAAGGGAAAGCTGAGCTACTTTTAGTTTTTTATTAAATGTGAAAGTATCTTGTTTACTTCAAGTGAAAGTACAAATATTGAAAGATGAATGGTGAAGCAAGAATACAAACCGTTTATTTGTTCTCATAAAGAAAGTCTTCAAGGTACTTGCAATGGCTTTTCCTCTTGTTTTTGCTCAGTGCTAAAGGATCTGTAGAGATTTGCAAAAAGTGGTGCCTCACTGTTCCAATAACTGGTCAGTTGGCTTTTCACAGACTGGAGTTGCAGAGGGCAGACAGTCCAAGAAGCTGTTTCTTTTCCTTATGGCATTTGAAGGTGGGACTGTTGCACCTTTTCCTGACATCTCTTTTTCTAATTCCATTTATATTGACTTACATTCCTTCTTTTCGGAGAAAGATGAAATCAGGAATCTAGGCTGCAATTACAAAACACTTCAAAAATTGTAGATCTGTTGATATGACTTAAAACGGATCAGTAAAAGAGTAAAAACAAACCAATTTTGCTTTTCTCTCCAAAACCATAAAGAATTTTAACTGGGTTTGGGTGTTATGCCCCCATGCATCCCTATGCCCCAGGAGCAAACTAGGAAATCAGCTGTCAGCAAAGCTGCTCTTGTCACCTTAGCTCTCAGTTCTGGTGTCCTGTTTTATTTACTACTTCCAATCTTAAAGGCATAGTTCCTGTACTAAGAAAAGTTTGCAGCTTCTCACTGATCTGTTAATGTAAGTGGGCTTGCATGCACTTTTTTTAAATCCTTGGCTTTTATGGACTTACTAAATAGGGAAAACCAAAAGTGTTTAGTTGTCTTTGGAGGCAGGGAGAAGAATAGGATGGGGGAGACATCTTTTCCTGTATCGTGTGGCTCTGACTAAATGATTCATATTATCACAGAATCACAGAATGTTAGAGATTGGAAGGGACCTCGAAAGATCATCTAGTCCAATGACCCTGCCGGAGCAGGGGGATTATCTTTAAGTACATTATTAATTTTCCATACAACTTCAAATTATGCATCCTAGCAAATAGATTTTTTTCCAGTACTAGCTTTTTTTAAAAAATGTTTAAAAGACTGAACACGTATTAGTATAACACTCAAAACAAAAAAAGTTTTTAAGTGTTTCATCTCAAAAGTGTATGTGATTAAAGGTCCACAGGCCAATTTATAGGTGTAAATTGTTCTGGAATATAATATGGCTGCTATACATTTTAAAGTAGGAAGAGTTATTTCAAACATGGTTACCATTAAATAGCTTATAGATACATAATATTTTTTAAAGCTTGTATTTTAGCCTTCTCAGTTTCCAGGTATTTAGTGCTGCACTTGGGAGTTGCTACTTTATTTGTGCATGATTCCAAAAATCACTCATGTGGAATGTTTCTGGTTTTATAATTTGTTTTCTTACCTCAGTAAAAAGGGGATAAAGAACAATCAAAATACAGATGTTAATTTAGGAATCAAGTTGAAAAAAATAATGCAATCTTATTAAGGAAAGACATTTCAGCATGAAACAGGGAGAATAATAAAAAACCAAACCAAAACAAAGCCACAAACAAAAACTCACAGAACTATACCACAAGGAACTACTGAAAATTTCTTTGCTGTAAAGATGCTAAAAGCTGACCACCGTGCTACTCCAAAAATGTCATGCCAATGTAGACGATGTGACCTACTACCCACACAGCCCAGCAGACAAATGCAGTTGAACAAAAGTCTAGAAATCTGAATAGCAAAAACTTGGATTGTTCTGTAAGTGGTTACAGGGACTGTGTACGCTGCTTGGGTAAAACGTGCTACACTGGTATTTTAACAGCAGAAGTTAAAACTTACCATAATTGTTCCTTCTGGTTTCAAAACATATTTGTAAAGGGCGAGGTAACCCCCCCACACCCTTATCCTATTTTACATTCTTACAGGTGTTTAGTCTCCTGTGTTCATCCTTTTGCTGAATACTTAAGTCTTGTATAGCCAGTCTTGTATAGCCAACCCACTCATCTCTAGTATAAGAACTAAATTCTGACCTAGAGAAAAGAGATTCTACTAAAGTTTGTAGGCGTTTGCCTCTTTTGAATGATAATGACCTGCCACAAAAGAAATGTTAGTAAGATGGTGAATGGATAAATTGATGGAAATAATGATTAAAAATGGAGAGGAGTATTTTTAAATCGATAACTTCATACTGTGGCTCAGCCTCTTCTCAAAGGGCTACATCATGTGGACAACTGAGTCTACTACAGCTAATAAATGTTATCCTCCCAAGTAAAGCCATAAAGAATTGGGCTTCTGTATCTGTAAGTTTTGGCTTCAGAGGATGGTCACCTACAGACAGTTGTACTCAAGTCACAAGGTCATCTTTGCTTTTGATTCCAGGATTGCTAAACTTGGCTAATGTTGGCTGTCTTCTAGTAGTGCAATTCTCTGTCTTTCAAGAAGCTACAACAGAAGGAACAAGACTTTCAGAAGGACTTGATGGGATTTTTGTTGTTCATAAATTCTTACAGCACTTCTCTTCTTTGAGACACTGTGTCATTAGGACTAAGAAGTTTACAGTTCCTCAGCTGCTGTAAATGCAGCTCCACTGACATGGATGGGCTGATGCTATTCCTAGAGGACCCAGCCTTCTGCTACTAGCCTTCATCA